ATTTCCATGTGGTAAATCCATGGATCTTAAAATATCAAGCTTCTTTACTTTTGGCTGGAATTTAACGCACCTGATTAGAAGCCCTGCTTAGCAGCACATGGCCATGACTGATTAAGTTTTTTGAGAGTTGTCATTTGTTTGTAGACAAGGAGTCGGTGAGGAGAGAATAAAATCAAGTGACGCGTCTCCTAAGGCTCCAGATAGCTGGGAGTCTGAGATCTGTGCTGCAGTGATGGAAAATGTCCACCAGGTGACACCAAGGAGCTGCTTAACTGTTGGCTCCCCAGCTAGTTAGTGACTGGACCACCTGAAGCCCATTTAAACTTCTCCCCACCTTGTAAACTAAGGCTCAGCTGCAGCCACACCTTCAGCTCTGGTCCTTGACTTCCCCTGCACCCGCCCACTCAGTGCTGCTGCTGCTGCTCTGTGTCGGCTGCGTCTCACCACACTGTGGGTGTTGACTCTTCCCCTGGATGGGAAGCTTCTTGAGAGCAGCGCCAAATGAGTTTACTTTAAAGCTTATTCCTTTCGGTATTTCCAGCAGTGCCGGGCGCAGGACCTCTGAGGTGCAGTGTTGAATTAACATCTCTTGGTGATCCGTGCGCTAGGTGTGACCCTCCATTGCATTCATGTTCAGTATGTTTTTTGTCCTGAACGGCATGTTTATTTTCCCAGCTGCATAAATGACTTGCTGGAGGGGATTGTGTAGTTTCGTAAACCTTACTCCAAACTGCACCCTGACCAACCACTTTCACTAACTTCCAAGACAGTTACAGAGATCATTCCTGTGGAATGATGGGTCTTCCCTGCAGCCATGCAGTTGGCCTTGGCGGTGGGACTTCCCTGCGTGTTAGGCAGCAGATGGCCTCGGAGTTGTTAGGCTGTGCGCCGTATGGGTAGGAGCTTGGGAAAAGCAGAAAAGAATCCTCTGTAGCTCTCATCCCTCTGCCTTATCTGGGCTCCCAGCGGGGCCTCCCACAGCGAGCGGGTTTGGCCTGGAAGGGAGGCCTCTTGCCAAAGAAGGGCCGGCCCGGGAGGAGCAGTAGTACCACAAGCGTATTGTAGCTGGATTGTGTCATTTTATTGGAGACCATTAAGGAAATGGACGTTCATTTTTTTCTTTTCCAGAAAGCAGATAATGGCTTCTAAGCCAATTGGAAGGAAATTTGAAAAGGTTTCATAACAGTGTTATTTCATTATTACAGCCAGCCTCCACAGGCAGCCAAGTTGTTTTCAGGCCCGACCCTGGCTCTGGCTTTTTCGTTGTGTGGATACCTTTCCAAAGTGTCTGATTTGATGACACATTCAGGGGTTCTGTGTTTGATAGCAGCCCTAAGAGTGTGCAGAACTCTGAGCAAACAGCATTTACATTTACCTAATGTAATTTTTAAAATGAGCCACAGTCTAGGTGATACTGGAGATAGTAATACTGATGTGGTGTGTCTGGGCGTTTCTTGAAAGGCTGTTTGTTTAGCTCCCTAGCGAATTTGATAAACCAAGGCCATATTTTTATTTCTAGAGCTGGGAGTTCCCCAAGCTGGCCGTTTTGACCTTTGAATGTTAGGAGCCCCAAAAGTTCTGATTATGAGACAAGGAAAAGGCAAAGCTTTTCTTGTCCATTAAAAAACTCAGGACCCACTCCTGGCATTCCATTGTCCTACAAAGAGCAGAGAATGGGACCCCTGCTCTTTGGGGTGGTGTTACTTTAAAGACAATCAGAATCTACCTGTTAAATGCTCATCTTCTCTGTGAGTCTGTATCTTGGTTATTATTACCTTTGGCAGTTGAATTTAAATCCATTGGGGATGGGGTGGGGTAGTTTGTAAGTACATTTTCAGAAATGCATCTAAAAGTCTTTTCAGGAAAAATTTGGGACCTGCTAGTGCAAATTAGCATCACTAATACAGCTGCTTTGTTTTTAGGTGATTGGCGAGGACAATGTGGCGGTGCCCTCCCACCTCTGCAAGGCGATCCTGGTGCGCAGAAGCCCAGGGTCTACTGAGCCCCTGGCACTAGGGGCTTCGTGGTGCCCAGCGAGGCCATTGGCTTCCAGCCCCAATTAAGTGAGCTCCAGGTGAGCTTGCAGAACCTGGAGAAGTTGTCAGGACTGGTGTTTTTCCCTCATCTGGATGGAAATAGTGACATCAGGAACATCTGCTTGGTGGACACCTGTAAGCTCCTGGATTTCAGGAAGTTCACTCTGAGCACAAGAAAGATTCAGGGAGCCCGATCGGTACTCAGACTGGAAAATCCTTTCATGGAAAATTTGCGGAACGCAGGCATTGAACCCAGTGAGGACTTCATGACTCACTGCAAGAAGAAGCTGGAAGAACTCAAAGCTCAGAGCAGTCAGGGGTCCTGGAAAGAAAGCCCTCGTAGTTCACCTCTCAGAAGTGCGACATTGTCTGTAATGAAGCAGGTGCAGCCTCTTTGGGATACTATGTTTTTGTGGCTCTGCTTTAAAATGATGGACTCCTAAATTTCAGACTAAATTTCTCCCCAAAAGATCAAGGATGTCAAATGTTTTGGTTGGTATTTTATTTGACGTGGGAAACTAAGGAAACTGTTAACGCCTGCAGATCACGGGCTGGTCTTGTGTCAAGTTAACAGGAGGGCTGTGTCTGTAGGATGACTCTGTGTGCGTGTCTCTCTGGATGTATTGTACGTGAAGGCGTTATATTTTCTGCCTCCGCATCATACAGTGTCTTTGATGTATCTGCTCAGCCTTCGTGGAACCAAATATTGTACGTGTTCTTTCCCTGGGACTTGAGCTGGTCTTAGAGATGGCTTTTGGAGATCCCCTATGCATTGTCCTGACCATGTGTATCATATATTTGTTTCTTGTTCCTCCCCTCATGGGCCTGCTGTTCCTCCTCTTCTGTCAACTACATTTTCTGCTCACTTAGTATGTTCTATATACTAAGCTCAGTGCTTTACGTGTATTATCTTACAACTACCCCCTGAGGGAAATACCACTATCCTCATTTTACCCAAGAGGAAATTGAGGCTTAGAGAGCTGAAGTGTTTTGCCCAAGGTTCATCTTCCCAAAGAAGTAATCCACAAGGAATGGGCACACAACATGGGGTACATTAAAATCTTCCCTGACACAGAGGCTTTTGACTCAGAAAGACATATGTCCTGAGTGATGGAAGGGGTGTCTGTGATCCTGGGGCCTGCTTGGTAAGAGGGGTCTGGTTCCTTGTCTGCCATCGAGCCAGAGGGACTTTAATGTCCTCTGACTTGAACCCTCCTTAGTTCTTTGGGAAGAAACAGTCACAGGTATTTGAAGGTTAAAGGTCAGTGCTTTTTGGGGTTTATCAAGGTCCCTATTTGCCTTCAGAAATGCAATTCTTCTAGAGACTGGCTGGTGCCAAATCGATGTGTTCCTTGCTTTCCAGATGGGCTTTTTGTTCTAGAGATTGAGGAACCTTAGAAGGGTCTGTGCCCACAGATTCACCAGCTGGTGGCTCACTCACCTTTGTGCCAGCGTGCCTACCTGGATGGCATACATAGGGCTGGTGGTTGGCCCAAAGACCCAAAAACTGTTACCTCTGGGGGAAACAGTGGCTGTTTTCTGAGCCAGATCTCTAGATTTGGGTTTATGTGGAATCCTTTCATGGGCTTTCATAAGTGTAGGCAGTAAAATGTCTTAAAATAGGGCACAGGAACTTGTCTGACTGTGTCCTGTCACTGCTGTCTTTCCAAGTGCTGTTACTAGAACAGTTTTCATGGTGCTTTGTGTTTGTCTCTAACAGACATGCCAAGGCTTTAAGATAAAGGTAAGATGATAATGATTGACATTATTCTGCTTTATTTGGGTAAAAAAGAAAGAAGTTGGGGGGTCAGAACACTGCAGCCCAATTAATACCTGCCTGTTTTATCACACTGTTCCCCATTAGCTTGTGCCAGTCTTCTTCTTCTCAGGGATAAAGAGCCCAAATGTCACTGTGACCAAAAACTCTGTTACTTTCTCTCCTTGTTGGAGAGGTGACAGTGGGGTCTGGGTGTTTTTCCAGGAGCCTGAGGGCGGCTCTGTGGGAGAGGTCCTACCGCCCATCTCAAGAGGCAAGCCCCCATCCACTGTCCCCGGGGCCTGTCACTACATTCTCCTCTGACCTGAATTTCCAGCAGCCTTGGGGGTTATTCCCATGTTGTTCTCACTCCTGTGTCACCACCTCAATGGTAGAGAATCTTGATTTTTAGATCAATAAAGTGTCTTAACATGTTTTTAGTTCCTATGAAAAATGCTACCTGGTCATTGTGAAAAAGAAGAGATAACTACTTACAATTAAAAAAGCAGTCTCCCAGTCCTCATTTTTATATGTAGAAGTTTTGTTGATATACGACAAGTGATGCTTGAATTGTCTCAACACTTCCGCTAAGAGTCCCTCCAAAACAAACTTTGAAATGTAAACACTGGGTAGAGCTCAGGACTTTCCTCTGGATCAGATCACTTCTGCCTCCCCCGTGGGACTGTTGAGTACTTGGATTCAGACGCAGCAGAGCCCTAGGCCTCCCCCCCAGCATCAGGTGTGTCCCTCTGGTCAAAGAAGCACCTCATTACTGACCTGAGCCAATCACCATCCAGCCGGGCCCTCTCCGGGTCCTGCCGTGGTCTCAGGCTGCACCTGGGACTCTGCCTTCCACTCTGTTTATGCTCAGGGAGCCCCTGGTCTGAGGGAGGCTGCCGAGGGAGAAGGACCCAGGCTCTGCTGCTGGGACCCCCCTCTGGGGGCGAGGGACTCACTCCCTAATCTCTCTCCACCTGCAGTAACATCGTTTTTAGAGACTTCAGGTTCTTTGGTCTATGGATTGAGACTATTTCGCCTATATCGTATGCAGCAAAGGGGGACCTTACACAAGTGGCAAAGGTAGGATGGGTGTGCTAGCCCCTTAAATACCTGTTAGTGTTTCTGCACTTGTGACTCCATCTTCAAACGACTGAAAACCTCCGCCCCTCCTTCAGGACTTAGAATAGAGCCCAGCAGGAGATACAGAGTCTGATCTTGAGGGAATGGCTTCTTGCAGAGCTGGGCTCAGCCTGCAGCCCTGCTCTTGGAGTGACTGTGAGTATTACCATGTCGCCTGTGTTCCCTGCCTTGATCGTGAGTCCATAAATGTCATTGGTGTTAACATGACGAATCTCCAATTTCCCGTCAGCGGCCTGTCCCCGACCCCAGGGTCTGCTGTTCTGTTCCCTGCTAACTCCCTACCACATCCACCCTGTGTACCCTTCCCCTTTCTGGGCCCTCACTCTCCTCCTTGAGCCTCTAATTCATTCTGGTGGAGCTGGTCAGGGGTAGCCTCACATCGACCATGGAAGCCCTGCTCTTGCCCACATCCATGCCCAGCCTCTCCACCTGGCCTGCTTTTCTGGTTGTCGTCATGGAGATGGTCTATCAGGGGATCCAGTGCTGCTTTTGCAGTCCAGCCTCACCTCCAGGGACCAACCCTCAGGTCATCAGAGGGCCGAGTGGGATGCACTGCACTCTGTATAATTTGGGGCAGGGGAGATGGGGTGCTTGGATGGGCTTCTCTTCCACGTTCCTGAACTTGACAATTCGGCCAAGGGCTGGTTCACCCTGAGTGCACAGCACCTCTAGGGGTCACTGTGGCCTAATGCCACACCGCTGGGACCTCGCCCCAGCACAGAGCCTCAGTAGGCAGGCTCCAGGCTCTCAGGCTGGATGGGACAGGAGGGGTCATCTCTTCCAGTGCGCCTCATGTTTGGCTCACATCAGAGAAGCCTAGAGAGTTTAATTTTTCCCCCCAATTTTATTTTGAATAATTTCAAGCTTTCAGAAAAGTTGAAAGTGCAACGAATGCCCTCTCCCTCCATACTGTGTTTCATTTGCGTTCTTGTCTTGAACCATTTAAAAGTAACTTATTGTCTAAAAAAAATGTAAGTTGTAGACACAGCACTTCACTTTTCTTTTTTCTGTTTGTTTTTTTTTTTTTTTCTTTTTGGCTGCGTTGGGTCTTTGTTGCTGCACGTGGGCTTTCTCTAGTTGCGGCAAGTGGGGGCTACTATTCATTGTGGTGCGCAGGCTTCTCATTGCGGTGGCTTCTCTTGTTGCGGAGCACGGGCTCTAGAGCGCAGGCTCAGTAGCTGTGGCGCATGGGCTTAGCTGCTCCACGGCATGTGGGACCTTCCCGGACCAGGGCTCGAACCCGTGTTCCCTGCATCGGCAGGCAGATTCTTAACCACTGCACCACCAGGGAAGTCCTTTGCTGTTTTTTTACTTTATTTTTTTAAATTGAAGTATAGTTGACTTACAAAGTTAATTTCTGCTGTAAGCAAAGTGATTCAGTTACACATTCTTTTTTAAATTATTCCTTTCCATTATGGTTTACCATAGGATATTGAATACAGTTCTCTGTGCTATACAGTAAGACCTTGTTATTTATCATCCTATATATAATAGCTTACACCTGCTAACCCCAACCTCCCACTCCATCCCTCCCCCAGCCCCCTCCCCCTTGGCAACCACAAGTCTGTTCTCTATGTCTGTGAGTCTGTTTCGTAGGTAGGTTCATTTGTATCATATTTTAGATTCCACATATAAGTGATATCATGTGATGTTTGTCTTTGTCTGTCTTACTTCACTTACTGTGATCATCTCTACGTCCATCCGTGTTGCTGCAAATGGCATTATTTCATTCTTTTTTATGGCTGAGTAATATTTCATTGTCTATATGTACCACATCTTCTTTATCCATTCACCTGTCGATGGACATTTAGGTTGCTTCCATGTCTTGGCTATTGTGAATAGTGCACAGCACTTCACTTTTTCATACTTCAGCCTGAATTACCTAAGAAAAAAGACATTCCCCTATTTCCAAAGTAACTATTATCACATCTAAGAAAATTATCAAGCATTCGATATCGTCTAATAAACAATCTCAATTAGAATTTGCCTGCATGTTCCCCAAATGTTTTTTATACTTTTTTGAAACATCCAGGCTTCAATCAAGGTTCCTATATTATATTTTGTTAATTATGTCTAGTCTCTCAATCTAGAATAGTCTGCCTGGTGAGCTTCAAAAGAATAGTAGATTCTCCAACCCCACACTTGAAGATTTTGATTCAGTAGATCCGATGTGAAGCTGGAATCTGTATTTTCTAAACAAGCAACACTGGCAATCCTGAGGAGCAACCAGGATTTGGAACCGGACCATATGCCCTTCTTTGCTCCCACCCTCCCCCAAGGCACACATTCCTTAGACAGAAGTCTTCTGGCAAGCAGGTGGTCTTTGAGTTTGACCTTGTGACTATCAAGGGAAAACTTTCTCCTATCCCATTAGGCCCCCAGGTGCCCAATTTTCTTTATAGAAGAGCTGCATAACATTCAGCTGAAACCTTCCCCTGTAACTCCTGCTCATCAATGACAGGCCCTAACCGCCTTTCCAGGCTACACAGAACTGGCTGGCACCTACTTTCACCTGATAGCCCTTTAGAGATAAGGTGCTCCTAATGACATCAGGGCATCTCACTTCATGCCCAGGCATTCATGGATTTCAGACCCTTCACCATGATTTCACATGTCTTCCTGGTGTGGCGACCACGTCTGGACAAAGCATTCAGGGTGAGGTGATAGCAGTGCTGAATCGAGGTGGGGGATTGACACCCCACTTTTCTCACTATACCACTGGTTCACGTGGGACTCGCTCCAACTAACGGCTTCGGGTCTTTTCCACATGATCTACTGTCAAATCACTTTCTCATCATGTGCTCACGTAGTCAATTTCTGGAACACAAATATGGCATTTTATGTATGCCCAACTATTAAGATTCCACTTGATTATAATTCCTACCCATCTTCAGGCGAGTTCACATTCTCGATGATCCTGATTTGGCCATCTGACATGTTAGCTATGCCTCCCAGCTTTGAGATTGCAGATTGGAAAAACAAGCCTTCAATGTGTCCGTTAAAAACATTGAAGGAGACAAGAGCCAAGGAAGGTCCCTTTGGTAAAAAATTCATTTTACATGGCAACCTGCTTCACATACCCATGCAGCAAGTTTCATGTGATAATAATGGGCTCTGATATTTTCAGAACTTACATTCAATTCTCTTCTATGTCTTAAAAAAAAAAAACACTAAATTGATTGTACAATGCAGAAATAGGTCTCCATGAAAATTTGCCTGTGAGTCACTCTGGGACAGGGAGATTGCCCACTGCACCTCTGGTTGCACACAGCACGGCTGGGCCAGCGCTTTGGACACCTGTGCTATGCAGGGAGACTGCCCAGCCCATCTTCCCACTTACACATGTAATGTTTGCCCTCCACCCCGCAAGGCTGTTGCCGTTACTTTACTTTGCTTTGTAGTTCAGTCATTCATCATTTACTTGTCTTTGCCCTCCAAGGCCTGCTAACTTCCTGGAGGCAGGCAGATTGCAGAGTTGACTCCTTTCTGCGGCCTCCAGAGGGTTCTGTAAACAGCACGTGCCCAAGACGTGTTATGGAGTTACCAGCAAGTCGGAAATGTTGAGCTTATCCTGCTTGAGTGTCACTGCGCTCATGGTCCCTGTGAGGGAACCCAGGAAGGCTGAGGACTAGGGCCTGGCTGGGGGGGCCAGTCCCCCTGCAGGGAACACAGAGACTGGCCTCTGAGATGATGGCTTCTCAGAGGAGGGAGGAAGGCATGTGCATTGTTCTGGCTGTGAGCTTGTGGGCAGGCGCTGCGTGGAGCAGGGCCCTGTGCTGGGATGACTCCCAGCGGCGTGCTGAGCACTACTTCCAGCCGGCTGGAGTTCCCCGGGCGCTTTCCCCACTCACTTTTCATCAGGATCCACAGGGTCTGGTCCTGAGGCCGCCCGTCCCAGTGGGAAGATGGGAGCACGGAGGTGCCCGTCAGAGTGTGCTGAGCAGGGCTTTTGTGTGTTTGGCCCAGAGAGAAGCGGAGTTAAATTTAGGTCTTCCAGCTGTGTGCAGGTGTGGAACCCTGCCCTCTCCCCTGCCCCCAGCCAGGATCTTGGAATTATTTCTCTCCTCTGCCTCCCCCAGCCCCAGTTCCTCGACAGGCACAGGATGAACCGTCATGCCTCTGGTGATGCCAGGGCTCATTTCTGCCCAAATGTCTTCTAAGTCTGGGGACAGTGGCAGACAGTGGCCTTGAATTTGCCGGGCCTCCCCAGGAGCTCCGAGGCCTTGGCACATCTGGGGCCCAACTGGCTCTTTCTTAGCCCACTAGGCAGGACACATATTTTAGTTCCCTCCACCTCCCATGATGGGCCCCTGACTTCTCCCCCGGCCTCCTGATTTCTGTGCTGTGTGCCCCCTCTCGCCTCTCTGCCCCGCACTGCCCCACACTGCAGAGGGAGCCTTCAACCTCTCGCTGTCATTGCCATTCAGACACGGGCAGAGACCTTGGATCTTCTCCAAGGTCACTGGAGTCCAGGACAGTGTGACGTGTCTATGTCCTCTTTCCCCATATGAGGCTGAAACTTGAATAGACTGGGATTCCTCAGGGGTAAGTGTGCTGCGACGTCTCCTTCACTGTGGCCCTGGGACCCTTCCTCCGGGCTCCCTGGCTGAGGCTCGGAGCCTTACAAGCTCTGGTCTAGGGTCAGAGCCTAGCTCTGCTCCTCTGCATACTTGCAATATGATTTCAGGTAAGTGGCACCCCCTTACGCCTAGTCCCCTGTGTGCAACGTGAGATTGGGCCGGACACTCTCCAGGGTCCCTCTGTGTTCGGTGTTCTGACTGCCCAGGGCAGAGCACTCCTTCTCATAATGCAGCCTGCAGGGGTGCTTTGCAGGGAGATATGCAGGGGCAGCCTGGAGGTGCGGGGGGTAGTGGGCTGAGGGGCCTCAGAGGAGGTGTGAATGAGGGAGAGGCAGAGCAGGCCGGTGTGGACAGCCCTGTCCCAGTCCTATCTCCCGTCCGCGACACCCTCTCCACACCCCAGCCCCGATAAGCGGGTGTGAGCCACGGCCGCCTTGTGACAGGTCCTTCAGTGGGGAGGGGATGGCGGGGGTCCAGGTCTCTGCTGAATCCGGACGTCAGCGCCTTCCTCCCCCACCCCCTTTTCCCTGCTGGGCTGGACAGGCCCAAGCAGCC